TACCACCCAGCATACTTACCACCACTGTCTGTTGCTACCACCCAGCATACTTACTACCACTGTCTGTTGCTACCACCCAGCATACTTACCACCACTGTCTGTTGCTACCACCCAGCACACTTACTACCACTGTCTGTTGCTACCATCCAGCATACGTTACCACCACTGTCTTTTGCTACCACCCAGCATATGTAGTTACCACCACTGTCTGTTGCTACCACCCAGCATACATTACCACCACTGTCTGTTGCTACCACCCAGCATACGTTACCACCACTGTCTGTTGCTACCACCCAGCATACATTACCACCACTGTCTGTTGCTACCACCCAGCATACGTTACCACCACTGTCTGTTGCTACCACCCAGCATACATTACCACCACTGTCTGTTGCTACCACCCAGCATACGTTACCACCACTGTCTGTTGCTACCATCCAGAGCTATATCAATTTCCTACATCATCTAACCCTCATACTGCCACTGTGGTTTATTGAAATAAGTTGACATACAGCTGTATGGGGAAATCTTTATGTTCTATGTACAATAGCATGGACTCAGCAGTCACTATCCCATCTACGTTGTTTGGACAGGCTGGAATTACTTTGATCTTACTCTTAGTAACATTGGGATCAAGCTCGTACTGCACAAGCGTTCTATCGTTTCAGCTTTCAGAACCTGAGAAAGCCCACTGCTGAGGAACAAAAACCATGAGAGTAAGTTTTCTTTTGGTCACCTTCGGCTCGAATATAATGGCAGAAAGCATGGAACCCAGGCAGTCTGTGACCTGCACGAGCACATGCCCGGGAGCATCTCTCATCACGAAGTTATCTGCTCACTTTTGTTATATAATAGCTGAAATCAATGAACTTGTAAACACAACGAAAATGTCGTTCTTTCATTCTAGTCCCTGTCCACCTGTGGACTATTATAATAGAGAGAACGAGACAGGAGGGAGATGATTTCAGGAACAGCTGGGTGGGTAAGCTAGTACGTTGTGTTAAAACCAAGGCATGACACACGTTTCTCTTACAATAATGAATGACACTAATACAACACTATTTCGGTATAATTAGAATTCTGAGAGTGTCATGATCTTGTGGCTTTGTATTCCTACAACTGCACAAGTGTATATAGCTACTCACTCAGACACACACACCACATGGGGTGCATGTACATATGTTAGAATGAGAGCCCACTATTGTTACTGCTGGGAGAACCCTTTAGTCCTGTCTGGACCCTTTGGCTGACGGATTATCACACTGAGTAGGGAGGAAGAGCAATAGTATGGGTCATAAGTATAATGAAAACCACTGAAGTGCAAAGCCTCGGTGAACTGCGCATGTGAGGTACCACTAATGAAAGGGCTTGGCTTTTTGTATGCGTTACTCATGGTCTCCATGCTAGTAGCTCGCGGAAGTCGATTCACGCCCTTCGTTGTGCCTTCAAGAAGCACAGAGCGAGCGGGCCCAGTCGAGGTAAGCCTGCGCTAATTTGCATATTTTGCTTGTTCACTTGCCTTTCACGCCGTAACTTCAGACACACACACACACACACACACACTAACAAACCAAGTACCGTGACCCTCGCTACACATGCGCGCTGAGGGTTAATATAGAGAAGATTCTTTAAGTGTGGCACTACCAGCCATGTGCACGACAACAGTCATCTTCTCTGACTCTGGCTGAGTCATTTATGCATAATACGAATAGCAAATATAGGTAAGATTACGTAATGATTAAAGGGTAAGCAGTCTGTACGTACGTACGGGTGCTATATACACAAGCAATGAGGAATTGAGAAACTCACGTTGAGGTGAGGTTGGTAGGCATGGAGGGTCTCCTGATGAGTCTGTCAGGCCTCATTGATGCACTATAGGGTGTGGAGGTTTAAACAGTCAGTGGTACACAAGTCATAACCTCCTTGTAAGGACATTATACTTAGTTCATTACAAATACGTGTGACAAACCTGAACTACTCACATATTTTAGTATAGAGATCTACCTGTCCCTGTCCTTTGATGCTCTCTCCACATTTCCTCTGAGGAAGGCATGTCTGGAGGCAATGTTGACTGCCCTCATTCCTCCTCCATCTACCGCTAGTCCCACCTGGAACTGCACCTGTACAAAATCACACAACACTTAATACACTTGAAAGAGAAGAACAGATGCATCTTTGTGCATCAAATTAATGTGGCAGTCCATTCGCCAAATTTTTAACAAAACTAAAGAATAGGGCCCAGTGACAAAATTCATTTAGGTTTCCATATAACAGTTTCTAAATTTAGCCCTTATGCATACACAACCACATTTCCTTCAAGAAACTGTTTTTTTTAATACAGATGTGATTTTGGAGCAACCCCCAATAAACATTTAAAACCGACATCACATGCATGGGTGCTCAGTTCTTTTGGTGGCACATGTTTACCGGGTCTCCTTCCTGGAGGACGATCCTGTGGTCAATGAGACTAGTGGCAGTGTAGGGCAACTGGGGAGGCAGTGGAGAACTGGAGGAGAGAGAGAGAGAGACCAGTGCTGCTCCACACACTGGACGGATTGTACCTGTACGTGCCACACTTGAGTATGGGTTCCACATTTCTAGTCTGCCAAGGGTTTGCACTTTAGTGTTTTCATTTTACTCCCTGTAGCTACGAGCTAGAGGAAAGCAGGTGTGGTGTGATACTAAAGTCACGTTTCAAGGTAACTATAGAGATGTGTTAACTGCATGAAAAAGAATCATTTTATGCCACAATGGTAAGTGCATCCATATGAGTAGAATACAAACAAAGCCCGAGAGGGAACAACTATAGATACCCTACTGAAGATTCATTTTACTGCTAAGTTTTAATTAATGACGTGCCACACTTGAGTATGGGTTCCACACATCTAGTCTGCCAAGGGTTTGCACTTTAGTGCTTTTCATTTTACTCCCTGTAGCTACGAGCTAGAGGAAATCAGGTGTTGTGTGATACTAAAGTCACGTTTCAACTATGGCGGTAGTACGTCCAGCGCACACCTGGAACTGCACCTGTACATAACCACACGACATACAACAGCTAGACCAAATAGTACCTGGAACAGCAACACAGATGCATCTTTGTTCATCGATAAAGAATTCATGTGGCAGAATAATACATAAGGCAAATTTTAGAACTCAGTGCAGTAAAACAGAGTGACCGAGTTAAAACCGTTGATATACAAGCAACGGATGGAAGAAGGTGAAGATCACTCATGGAAGAAACTGATCCAGTGTTTCAGAGATGTTCAACTGAACTCTCTTGCCAGAGACCTTGAGCTACACTTTGGACTCCCTTCACCTTCTGACAGAGGTAAGGTTATTAAGCAGGAACACACTTTTCTGACAGTAGTGCATGAGGACTTATACATAGAACGAATGCACTAGAAATGCACGCAAGAAAAATGTACAAAGAAGACGGAATTCAATTGACATTTTATATAGTGTGTGTTTGTTGCTCAGTTCACTTAATCAGGTATATACTGTGTCTAGCCTACTTCTCACATAGTTACAGTGGAATCTCGTTAAAGCAAACACCCTTTGTATCAAATTCCTGTTACCTTGAACTAACTTTGAAGTCCCAGCTAGAGCCCTATAGTAAACCATACTTTTGCTCTGTTACTACAAACACACAGGTGTGAAACCTTAGTTACTAAGCACATATTTTGTGGTCCCACAAAACAAACATGTGACCAATCTAGGCTAAGATGTGTTCAATCAGCTTTCCACCTGGATTGTTTTGTATAAGCATGTAATAGAGTGTGTACATGTGCATAAACTTTGAACTTCGTTTTGAATAAAACATGAACTTTTGAGCCGGTCCTCTGCAATTCACTTTAACGAGATTCCACTGTACATACAGCGGCACTACAGGAAGGAAGTCAAGACCTACCATCACGTTCTGACATTAATTGTACCATTTAAAATTGCGAAAGCACACAAGAAGCTGTAACTGGTAATAGGGGACAGAGGAGGAAGAGAGAGAGAGGGGGTGGAGGGGTGCTGTGGCTGGTACAAGTCATAGATCACAGTGGACCCATTCATTTTCTGTATCTAGAGATTTGATATAACATTCAGAGCACTATCGGAGCTAAGATCGGTGATGCACATCTGCCAACAGTTTATGGGCCCAGGTCCCGTGAGAAGCCGAGGAACAAGGATACTATGATGAAGTTGCGGAAGTCCACATCATGGCTGCTGGTTCGACGGTAGATGAGAAGTGGGTAATCGACAAGCTCGATGGCTCAAACTGGCCGACATGGAAATTCCTGATGAAACACCTGCTACTGGCGAAGGGGCTCTGGAACGTCGTCGATGGAACGGAAGTGTTCGCAGACGATGCGATGGCATATGCTCAAGTGGAGTTCGTGAAAAGGTCGCAAAGGGTATTTTCGACGATTGTGTGTTACCAATCGGAACCTCTCAGCTCTACCTCGTGGCATCAAGTGAGCATCCGAAGGAAGCGTGGAATGCTCTGCGCAAACACTTCGAACGTGACACCCTTGCAAATAAACTCTTTCTGAACAAGCAGTACTTTCGCACAGAAATGAAGGAAGGTATATACTTCAGTTCAGAAACATCTAAAGCACATGAAAGAAATGACTGATCGACTCGCTGTAATTGGTGCGCCAATATCCGAAGAGGTTCAAGTCGTCACGCTGCTCGCCGCAGAGTTACGCTACACTCGTGACAGCACTTGAGTCTTGAGTGGATGATGACCTATCGCTCAACTTCGTCCAGCAAGCACTTGTGCACGAGGAACAGAAGCTGCAGAGATCAGAGCACGAAAGTAACTCACAGCAGCACAAGGGAGACTCAGCGCTCCTGGGACAGAAGAAAGGATTCAAACCTCGCAGATAGACTTGCTATGGGTGTGGTCAAACCCGGTCACTTTCGACGAGACTGCCCAAACAGGGAAGAACGCACAAGACCAGCACACAAAACACAAACTGCTGGTGAAGGAGAGACAGTGCCGGAAGGGACTGGAGCATCTACAGGCGGTGAAGGCAAGTCAGAACTAGATGGGAGTGAAGCATTTGCTGTGTTAGAGGATTCAAAATCACCCAGAACTACAAAATTGCTAGTGGATTGTGGAGCTTCCACTCACATGACATGGGATCGGAACCTTCTCACAGATTATTAGCCATTTGAAAGGCCAGAAAAGGTCGGTTTGGGTGATGGGCGTACAGCAGATGCCATCGGTTTTGGGAATGTTCACCTAGAGATGGTATTCAAAGTGAGTGAGCCCAACAAAAGCATCATGTACAAAGTGCTTTATGTTCCACAACTCGCATGAAGTCTTTTTTCGGTGAGGGCCGCTGCATCCAAGGAAAATATAATCAAATTTGGGCACTCACGTTGCTGGATCAGGGACAGAAAGGGGGAACTACGTGGAATGGGAACACTCTCTGACAAACTTTATCAGCTAGACGGTGTGACTGTACCCTCTGAGCAAGCATCCCTCGCAACTACCAAGAAGCCCAATCGATCTGTCTTTATCCATTCTGAGGGCACAGAAGTGTCCATCGTTGCTGCCTACGTTGATGATCTAATCGTCATAACAAAGTCGTCTGACAGGATGAGGGAGATCAAAGAGAGCATGGCTGTAAAGTTCAGGATGAAAGATCATCATTACTGCCTTGGGATCAGAGTTGAACATGATGAACATGAGAGTAGCATTGGCCTACATTAGAGGCAGTATATTCTTGTTATGCTCGAAAAGTATGGGCTCCCCAGGCCAAGACAGTGTCAACACCTGCAGATGTGAACTCACCAAAGATGATGGCATGAGCAAATCAATTGACCCTGTAAAATACCAAACAATGGTAGGGAGCTTGCTGTGTGCCTCAACCGCAACCCGTCCCGACATTGCTTAGGCTGTTGGAGCTGTTGCCAACTTTTGCTCGCAACCGACTGAAGCACACCTCACCGCAGCTAAGTGAATATTTCGCTACCTCAAAGGGACAGCTGATCTTGGCCTACGATACCAGAAATCGTCAGATAGAAAACTCTCAGGGTACTCAGACTCTGATTGGGCCGGAGATCCTGACAATCGCCACTCAACTACTGCGAATCTATTCCTAATGCCAGGAGGAGCAGTTAAAGCAGCAAATAGTAGCCTTATCAACATCCGAGGCGGAGTATGTATGCAGCTCAGGAAGCCACATGGTTACAACGACTACTCCAACATTTACAAGTGAATCTTAAAGGAACCAATAGTGATTTTGAGGGTACTATTGCAATTGCAAGGAACCCAGTTTCTCATTGATGGACAAAACATATCGATATCAAATACCACTACATGAGAGAAGCTGTTCAAAATGGGTTTGTGGATTTTAAGTATTGTCCAACAGAAGAGATGGCTGTGCAGAGGCTGTTTTGCAAGAGGATGGGCATTGAACCCATACAACCTGATACTTAAGTGGGAGTGTTGAGGAATGTCATTATCAGGTTGCTGATGTCGCTGGAACTTTCTAGAATAGAACATTCTGGACGCACGTGTACCTACTCATATATAAAGCCATTCATTTTCTGTATCTAGTGAGCTGAGATAAAAACATTCAGAGCACTAAGTTCGGTGATACGGGTCTGCTAACAGCTTTTGGTATTGTTATCCATTGTGTGTGTCAGTGAGTATTTTCTGACATTGAAAAAGGGGAGACAATATAGGCAGGACCTTGTCCTTCTCTCCCTTACCTTATCACTTACTCTTGTCCTATTTCTCTCCTTCCTCATCTAACCCCGCCCCTCTGAAGTGCATAGCTACACATAATTGTGGGTGAGGGTTGTGCAGGCCTGGACCATATATCGGGACAGAGACGAGAGTGGACAGAGGCCCTTCTTCCCGCGTCTCGCCACAAGAACCTGGAAACTGTAGGAAGACGACGAGGACTATATAGGAACGCCGCCAGCGACGTGAACATGACGACATCCGATATTACCTCCCCTTTTGCTAGCCAGCCGGCCACGCGGTTGCGCGCGCTCATTCACACGAGCATACGAAATGGTTCATCATGAACGTTACTTGAGACGTCATGAAGTCGACGTGATTAGCAGCAATACATACATAAACCGGCCTTCTTCCTTGACGACCGCATTTTGGTCTTATTTAGCAGCAGTGCTAGCTAGTTGTGCTTCTTGTTTAGCTAGTCACCTTGCCGCGTATAGTCTCTTAGTGTACGCTGTGACTGTTGTTTACAATGAAGGTCGTTCAGTGTGTCCGGAGCTGAGGGCCTGCAGTAACGTAGCTAGTTGTAGTGTCATCTCTTCCAAGAAAGTGTAGGCTGTAGTCAGGTAGCGAGAGAGAGTCGGTAGCCGGAGAGCCGCTGAGGACGTGCGCTAGCTCCTCCAGCCATGGCCTCCCCCCGCCCCTCGTCTCCCGACTTCCATGACAAACAATGTAAGCTGATTCACTTCTCTACTTCTTTCTACTATTTTTAGTAGATAGGTAAGGAAGGTTATTCTGGACAAAAATAGTCCATCGCGGATTGACGTATTTCATCAAAATAGAGCAGAGAAAAATGGACAGATCGTTCATGCACTATAAAGGATCGACTATTGGTCATCTCGGAATCTCGGATCGATCATTGCGGACTGGTCATCTTGGATCGCTCATCGCGGACCGGTCATCTTGGATCGTATGGCGCGCCGTTTGTTTCAAAAATACAAAAGCTGGTAATCGATTACATGTATGTCGATCGCGATCTATCTCCTCTGGATCGGTGAATAGATTCAAGCAGTTGCTGGGCAGCATCAAGAGATCAGAGGCACCGGATCAAGTGAATCCTGGGCCGTGCGTGATCGAGCGATCTTTTCTGCCGCTTA